CCAATCGGAAAATCGATGGTTCCTACACCCCCCCTAACCCACCCCCTAAACCCCCAGCCCCCCCCCCCCGCCCATCCCTGCCCTAAGCCTCTCGCCAAATGTGTGGCTATTATGCATATAATAGCCACACATTTGGAGGGGGGCTTAGGGCGGGGCTGTGGTGAAGAGGGGGTAGAGGTGGGGCTGGGGTGGGGTTTAGGGGGTGGGTTAGGGGGGGTAGGAACCATCAAATTTCCGATTGGAGCACATGAGGTGCTCCAAAAATGCAGTGGCACCGCTAGTGGCACCATTGGCTAGTGTCAACGGAACCCCACTCATAATCATAAGCCATAACTTCAATGAACATTACAAAAAATTAAGTTAAAACTACAATGGGATTTTCATGCTTAAATGATAAAGAAATAAGAACTGGTCTGAAGACAAAATATAACAAGAATAAAGCAGCGACAGTTTCCTAAAAAAGACCATTTAAATAAATAAAAACAGAAAATCTTTCATCCACCTATACATGTGAAATACTCTTAAGTAATGTACTTTATCCTCTTGAGTTTTGATATACATTATTACTAGTTGCCTTTCTGATAAGGTCACTGCTTACAATACTATACTTACCACCCATAAATCTCCAACTAGAGAAGGACATGGTTCCTTTTCCGACCCGGAACCCTAGGTTCTGAACTGTACCAGAATCAGTGCTGCTCAGGTAAACCGCCGAACCTTATACATGAGGTTCTGGTGCCAAAAATGGAGCCGGTTTAGTGTAAAATGGACTAAGAAGCTAAACCAAAGCCGCAGGTCCTGAGAACAGAAATCACTTACACAGGTCGGATCAAGTTTCCGGAAGAAGGAAACAGTGGTTCTAGTTTCGAAACCAGACGGAGTGAACCCCTATATCCAATAGGTGGTTCAAAAGAGTAGCACAACCTAAACCGTTCAATAAAGCACTATCCATTCGACATATCCAACAGTTACTGATCTAAGAACACTAAACAAGTAGAATCATTGTACACAAAACGAAGCACTAGCATCCATTTTAAAAAAACGAAGTAAATAAACTACGTAATGGTAAAGGGTAAACTTTCATTTGAGTTGAGAAATGAGGGGGGAAAGTTTAAGAACCTCAACTTTCGAAGAGCGATTGAAAACAAAGGAATCGGGGTCGGTTGAATCGTATATAGCCAAAGTTCCGTCAATCGATCCAGCAGCTAATCTCTGGCCGCTATAATTCCACGCAGAGCAAGTCGTTCCTTCATACAGTGTCACGATGGCCTTGTCCATCTCTGTTTCTCAATGCATAAGCATATGCGATTTCAAACGTCCGGCTTCAATTTCTTTGATTGGGTTTACTATTGAACGCCAGGGAGCTCACCCCAAGCTCGGGGAAGACCTAAATCCACCTTCAATCATTCTAGGAATCAAAGGCAACTCTCGATTTAGGACAATGCTAGGGATAAACAATTTTGGGCTCAGATACTACGTCTTTGGAGTTTGGACCGTGTGTGTTCTCAACCCAAGCCAAATTTGTACGGAGTATGATTCTAGAGAAATGATAGGGTTACACCAATTTGGTTGGTGTACCCCATTTGTACACCAACAATTATAGCCATAGATTTTTTTTTATGTTTTTAATTTTTTTTTCTTTTCTTGCTTTTGTGTGGTGGAGATGGAGGGGGTACAAATGGAATACAAAAATTGGTGTACCCCTAGCATTGATGATTTTATCTGCTCACGAATTTGTTTTCGTACTCTCCCAAAAGGCCTTACACGTGATATACTACATGTTACACCCACTCCAATAGGTGGTTTAAAAGAGTGGCACATAGGATTGTAGACTAGCCTCGCAAACTAACATAAGTTTTTTCCGTGCATTTTGTACTTGTGTGCGCCCAAGGATTTTCCTAGGGAGTCACCCATCCTACAATTCCTCTATGTCAAGCACGCTTAACTTTGGAGTTTCTAGGTGATGAGCTTTCGAAAAGAAGATGCACCTTGTTGGTATGAGTAGGGGTACCGTCTGTCCCGAAAAAATTCCAGAAAATCTGATTTTTGAACCATTAAATCCTATTTTTGATATCAATCAATTATGATCAATACGAATATGATTTCTAGGATTAAAAATGATGTTTTTGACAAATAAAAATCTTGAGCGATATATAACGGTAAGCTGGGGTGATAACACTCATGCTAGGCCGCTATCTGTTATTATATGATATGTTGACTATTATTGATCGATAATTATAACGATTATAATGATTAATTGTTGACGAACCTTCTGATTTAAATTATTACTGTAAATGACGGAATCATGATTAAAATTTAGAATATCGATGATTATGAAAATAATGTATATTATTAAAGGATATCTAGAAGAACTCTAAGATATACCTATTTGGAAATTCATGTTGATTATTAAGGATGTCTAGAATAACTCTAAGACATGCCTATGTGACCAATTCAATTATTTAAGGTTAAAAGATACATACAAGATACAAAAAGCATATCATCCACCCGATTGCTCATTGTGAAGGGCAAACAGGAGTCTTTGTAACTTAAAAAGAAATTTAACTCCATAGTCCATAGTAATATTGTACAGTAGTAATCTACAATACACAGTAACACAGACGCCATGCTTGATGCTTCGATCCAAACTGCTTATTACTGATCTTACTAATCAAAATTAAAGTTTTCTAACCACCACTTAATTCTGACCTTATTAATTTATCTAATTACAATTATATCGATTTCAGTCTGTAATTTCAATTCTGTATATAAGCATCAAGCGCATGAAATTCCAACAGTAGAAGCAGCAGCCGTGAACCGCTCGGAGGCTGTTCGCCGCACCAACGACCTGATCTCCGGCGACAGCGCCTCGTACTCCGGGATCGTCGAGAGTGCCGCGCCGCGCGACGGCTCCGGAACAGGAACCAGGTTCTGACGCCGCTGTTTCCCGCTGGCACCGGCGGGATTAGTTTGTTTGTGCCGGAAAACGGATCTGAGAAGCTTCTGGAACGATCGCGAAATCCTGGAAGACGAAGGCGGCGAAATCGATCCCTTCGCCTGAGAAAGCGGCGCCGGAATGGTCCGGCGGCCGCGATCGGGAAGATGGGGCATCGAGAGGCTTCTAGCGGAATCGTCTACGATTATAGCCGAGTGGAGGTGGCGCTCGAAGGACTTGAGCTCGAAGGAGTCGTAGAGGGAGCTTCCGCAGTCCCACATTATCGGCTTCTCCGCCGCGGCGCCGCCGTTCTCCGCTCGCCTGCCTCCGTTAGAAGCTTCCAGATGAGTAGCCTGCACCGCCATGTTTGCCGATCGGAAGGTTAGTTACGTTGCACTCTCTTTCCCTCTGTAGAGTATATATATATATACACATACAGGTAGAATCGCGGTGGGGAGGGGCCAGGGGTAAAGTGGTAAATGTGGGTTTGGATTAGATCGACAACATTTGGTTAATTTATTTTCCAAAAAGGGGAAATATTATGAGCCATAAGTATGTACTTCCTCCGTTCTCAAAAACTCTTCCTCTTTCATTTTTTTAATTCCAACAAAACACTTCCACTTTATATTAAAAAACCACTTTTACCCTTACTTTTTATACCCTACCTATCACATCATACTTTTTCTCTAATACTCAATCCATCACATCTTACTTTTATCCATCACATCAAGGGCAAAATTGGAAGTCAACTACAATTTAACACTTCCTTATTTTTACATAAAGTCAAAATAGGAACACTTTTATAGAACGGAGGGAGTATAAGTTGGTGGCGTGTAAGATTGTGCATTACACCTTTGCCTTTCATGACTAAAACCCACCAAAGGTTTAATTTTACTAAGAGAGGAAAAATAGAGGTTCGAAAAAACTAAAATATATGGAGTGGGGGGCTAAAATTTCTTCCATATTACGTCTTGGTTTCATTTTTGGTTTTAAACTTTTGCAATTGCATCAAAATAAATTTTATATTTTACTTTTTAAGAAATGAAATACTTCTTTGGAGTACTTCTTAAAGTCAAATACCGTTCGAAAATTTATCTTTGGAGTCTGTAGTTGATTAGATTTTTTAACATGATATTAAAGCCTTATTGATTTAATACAAGATCAAATTTAGCATCGGTACATTATTGTCACTCAATTGGAAAAAATAATGTTCTTCTGCAAAATTCAAACAAAAACAAATCCTGCTTGCATATGAGAAGACGCGTTAGACTACAATTTTTTTCAAACTCTACAACCACAACTTTAAATTATTGGTTAAATTGAGGAAGAGAGACCAAAGTAGGACTAAAATATTGAAAATATACCAAAATAGGACTTCCATGTTTTTTCACGAAATAAGACCTACATTACCAAACATGGTCATTTAAATTATAAAAAAAGTATAGTAATGTGCACATGTACACTGCCACATTACCACAGTGCAAAGTTCTATTTCAGGAAAAAAAAATATGAAAGTTCTATTTAGATACTATTTTCTATGTTTTAATCCTATTTAGGATAATTTCTATTAAATTAATTTGTTTGACACACAAAAGCACTCCATGGCTACATCCGTTTGGAAAATAAGTTATTCAAGTTTACCCTACATGTTTATTTAAGGAAGGTAAAAAATATGGCTGGAAAAACTTCTATGGATACTCTTCTACCCTACCAAAAACGGGGGCTCCTTTTTTTCATTCTAAAAATTTGAATAAATTCCGTAATCAATTTTTCATCAACATTTTTTGTTTCATATTTTCATTAAGAATATAGTCATGTCACATACTCCGTATTATTTTATAAAACTTTTAAAAAAAATTGATTATATAAGTTCTCCAAATTTAAAAAAAATCCAATTAAAGATACATTAAATTGGCCTGTGCAAAGCAAATACTCGGGTAAATTTCTTTTTTAAATGGAGGGTCTTTTATATTTTTGTACAAAATTAATGACAAGGAAATTAAAAACAAAATGAACCACAAATAATATACGTTGAGGGAGTGGTCCGTTGTTGCCCAAGGCCCAAGT